CTCTCAGATCCATTTCTTTTCTCTACTCTTCTCCTCATTGCAAGAGTTAATACCACATGCTAGATTTTCAGGTTTTCTTATAATCTGATTGTCAACTGGACTTAGGCAATGCAAATATTAGAGAGAAGTTGACCAGATTCTCTAGATGAGCTTGAGGTAAGATAAAACTAGTAATACTTTGTTTGGAAGGCAATGAGGGTGTGAGGGAAAAAACAGGCAATCAGAGCTGGGTGAAAGGGAAGTGAGATGAGGAAAAATGCAAAATAATACAATATAATTCATTTTTACACTGGGTAAGGATTCACAATGAGTTTCCTTGACACAACAGATTGCTTAGCCAGTAAGCTTGTTCATCAGAAGACTGTAAGGAAGAACAATATCTTAAAGTCATTGAAGTAGTCCATAGAGGGAGGAGAAAAGGAAGAGCTGAATATGGAAGTGCATGCCAATAATCCTAGCAGACACAGAAGTATTGTGAGTTCAAGGCCAGCCTGGGCCACTTTGCCTCAGAGAGAGAAAGAGAGGATGGAGGGGAGAACACTCTTTCCTGTCTCTCATTTCTCGTTAGTCAATGTTCATTCCATGGGAAGCTAGCTTCTGTATTAGTGAGGGTTTTCCAGAGAAAGAGAATCAATAAAGCATACATAGTTATAACAAAGGATTTATTAGATTGGTTCACATGATCATAGAAACTGAATAGTCCCACAATGGCCATCTTCAGGCTGAGGAGCCAAGGAAACTAGTAGCTGCTCAGTCTAAGACCGCAGAGACAGACCAATGACCCCAAAGCCTTCTGGAGAGATGCTTGTGCGAGTCAAAGGTTGAAGAGACTGGAGTCTGATGTCCACAATTGGCAGCAGCAGGAAAATGTACCCACTAGGGAAGGAATAACATGAGCAAGTTATTTTCCCACTTTGGGCATTTCATTCTATCCAGACCCCCAGCCTATTGGATAGTGCCACCCACATTCAGGGCAAGTCTTTCCTCACTCACTCAGTTCACTAACCCAATCACCAATCTTCTCTGGAAACACCCTTACAGACACACCCAGAATTCTTTAGACATCCCTCAATCCAGCCAAGCTGACAACCAAATTAATCATCATACTTCCTGCACTTTTTGCTTATGTAATTTGACCCATAATGATGCTCAAAAATCTAGATCCCATACCTTGCAGTATGTTTCATCCGAATTCAAAAGTGGACACATAGAGTGATGACCCAGAATTGTTGGAAAGCTGATTAAGATAATAAAGAGGGGCTCAAGAGAATATGACATGATGCACAAGATTAGCATTCATCCAGAGCATCCTGAAAGAAAATGAAGAAAAATCTTCCCAATCAACAGGGCTTCAAAAGCAAGTGTTAGTTCACTTTGCCTGGAAGGGGAGTTCGCTATATGAGTGTATATAAACTGCTACCTGATAAGGAAACAGGCTCGTCTGTGGTGAGATGCTTAAAAAAATAAAATAAGGTTGAAAGACTGGTGACAAAGTATTATGCTTAGAGTATGTTTTGAACCTCTAGAAAAGGATACAACTGTGAAAATATGTTTGTCCATGTAAATACCCACAAGAATGCATCCAATACAGAGGAGATGCTCAGTGATCAGGCAAACTAGATGACCCATCCTGTGGTTGCTGATTAGCCTCTGTACCAGCTCGGGTTGCTTGCTCACTGGTCTCATGTAGGAGTGTCCTTATCAGTGTGGTAAACAGATAAGCCTTAGAAAGAGGAAATTCACATGCTATAGAGCTTACGTGAGCCTCTATCCCTCTTTTTCTGGGCACCAATATAAAATGCTATTTTTTTTACTATATCTAGGAGAATCTAGAGTCTTCTAGTGACATGTTAGTTACATTAAAGAAACAGCTATTGGTCCTCACAAAATAGGCAATATTCCAGAAACAGATCTGTTTTCCCTCCTGCATTATTTCTTTCAGTACCACCATTGTAGACTCACACCATTGAGGTATCTCAAAAAAAATCACTTGAAGCCAACAAGCTAATCTTATAATTAAAGAATCCTCATAATGGGATCACCCTGTGGAATTTATTCATCTCACATTTATGTCCCATTAGCCAGAAACAAGTGGAAAGTAGGATGGCCTGCAGCAGGTTCAGGTATAGCACCAGCTTAGAAACTCCACCTGCTAGGGTCTGAATATTCTCATGTGGAGACCACGGTGATAGTGTAAAGAACTGAGGCATGAGATTTGAGCCCTTATCAAAGGGTCTCGAGGGAGCCCTGCCCTCCACCGTGTAGGATGCAGTAAGGAGGCACTATGCTTGAAGAAGAGAGCAAGCCCTTGGATTTCCCGTTCCCCACAACCATAAATTACCTAAGCCACGGTATTCTATTATAACAACCGAAATGAACTAAGGCCCTACCTATGATGATTGAGGGCGTTGTTCCATAAATTCTAAACCTGATTAAAATCAGCAGCTCATATGGATTTTGAAATAACCAGTTACAAGAGTTATGATTCCATTTATATGAGGCATCCAGAGCAGTCAATCATAGAAACAGGAAGTAGAATCGTGATTGCCAGGGACTCGAGGAGGAGCAGAAATGGGTACATTTAGTGTTTAATGGGTGCAGAATGTCAGTTTAGGATGATAAAATAGTTTGGAGATGGATGATGGGATGGTTGCACAGCAATGTGAATGTACTCTTAAAAATAGTAAAATTGGCCTGGCTTCGGTGGCTCACGCCTATAATCTTGGCTACTCAGGAGGCAGAGATCAGGAGGATTGCAGTTTGAAGCCAACCTGGGCAAATAGTTCTCCAGACCCTATCTCAAAAAACTCCATCACAAGAAAAAAAAAAAAACACTGGTGACTCAAGGTGTAGATCCTGAGTTTGGGGTTTGAGTTCAAACCCCAGTACCACAAATAATAATAATAATAATTGTAACTTTTATGTTCTATTTATCTTTTCACAATGAATGATGATAATGTAACCTGAGAACATTCTAAGACCGGTGATAAGTATACAGTAGGCACTCAAATATCAATTCCCTTCTTAGCACTCATTGGTATGACATCCACCTTGTGGTCTTGGAGAATAAATTTCTCACCCCTAGGTTTTAAAGGACTATCAGTAAGGTAAACAGGAATTCCTTTCTGCAAGTGGAGAGCAGGTCACCCGCAAGGGGAGCGCCGGTACTCTTCTCTGCACCCAGGTTCTTAAGCAGCTCCCAGAAGCAGAGTCTAGGTGTGGGCTGAAGACCAGAGCCAAAGAAACCAGCACCGACTATTCCATTTTAGGATTATGCTTTGTAAAGTTAGGTAACGAGGACATGGCAGGGAGCGCGCATCCAGGATGCCTTGCTGCTGAGTTCTCCCGGGTCCCGAGCTTCTGACACCTCGGCATCCGCGCTGCTCCTTCGCTCTGGGCCTCTTCACTCTCCGCCTCTCTCCTCCCCGCTCCTCCCATTGCTCCTCCCTCCCTTTCAGACTTACAGCGGCTGAAAGGAAATTGAAAGTGAAAGAAGGAGCGGCGGTGGAAAGGTAAGTGAAGCCGCTAGAGCAAGGTACTCCACCCTCCCCACGGACCTCTTTCCCCTGCCCCAGATTTGAGGAGCCCCTTCCCGCCAGTCACTGCCTTAGAGCCTTCCCCCCGTCCCACTGGAGCCTTCTCTCAAGCAGGGCTCGCTCAACCCAGGCCAGCGCTCTCCCACTCTAGCCTGTCTGCCTGGGAGGAGGCTGGCTCTGAATGTGACTTTGGAGGCAGTTGTCTGGAAGGGGCTCTGTCAAGCTGCTCTGGTGCTGGGCCAAGGGGGCTGGTGAAAGTGGGAAAACCAGGACCCTAACCTGGCGCAGAGGGTGACTCGAGAGTCCAGTGAAACTCCTGACCCCCAAAGTCCCCTGCTGGCGGTGAGGGCCTGCTGTTTAGGATATTCAACTAGAAATTAATGTGAATTCAAGATTTGAGGAAGTTGAGACATATACTAAGTTTGGAGCAGCTCACTCTAAAACAGCCCAGGGAGTGCTCACTACATATAGACATATATGTGTACACATATGTGTATTTATACATACATGTGTTCATACACACCTACATGGGTACATACCTATTATACACATGTTTTATATATGAGAATATGTCAGGATAAAAATACACACACACACACACATATATATATATACACACATATACGTATACATAAGAAGTTATGCATCCCTTAAAAACAGGAATACAGGCTGAGAAATATGCTCTTAGGTGGTTTCATGTTTGTACAAACAGCATGGAGTGTATTTTCACAAACTTAGGTGGTCTAGCCTACTACACACCCAGGCTATAAGGCATAGCCTATTGCTCCACCATTACATATCCAGTACATCATTAACCAAAATGTTGTATGCAGCTCATGACTACATATTCCTGACTCCTGCAAAACTGTAGTACCTCTCTGAAACATGGAAAGTACATGGGAAATAGTCCCTGTTATTATGATTAGTATCTCCACAACATGGAAGCTTGGTGGCACAAGATGGGAGAAGATGGATGGAAAATGAGCAGGCTGGAAGGATTTAAGAATTGTCAACAACTTCATCTCTGAGGTTCTGGCCAATTTTCTCTGCCTTTTCTGGAGACTCAGTTTCCCCCTTCTCTCTGACTAAATCAATGGGCCAGACTATGAAAGACAGATTCTTGTTTTTTTTTGGTTGAATTCTTGCCTTCTTATGTTTTAACCCTGCCATTTTATTTTCCCATATGTTTTCCTTTGCATTTAGTTTTGTTTTTATTTTATTTAGTTGGTTTTGTTTTGTTGTGTTGTATTGTTTGTTGTTTTGTTGGTTTGGTTTGGTTTTTGGTTTTTTGGCACAGGGTCTCACTACGTAGCCCATGCTGGGCTCTTAACTCACAATCCTTCTGCCTCAACCTCCCACTTCTGGGATTACAAGCATACTCCACCACACCCAGCTCATTTTGTTTTTCTGAAACAAGACTTCTCACCCTCTCCTGCTTTCTTCTCTCCCCATACCTCTAGGTCTTCACAGTGCTGCTTCACAGACACACATCACCTCTATGACCTCAGAAATGCCCCTGGCAAAGATGTGGGAGGAAGTCACCTGTTCTGTGTGCCTGGATCCTATGGTGGAGCCTGTGAGCATCGACTGTGGTCATAGCTTTTGCCAGGAATGTATCTCTGAGGTTGGGAAAGATGGGGGCAGCATGTGTCCTGTGTGCCGGAAACCCTTTCTGCTCAAGAACCTCAGGCCCAATCGGCACCTAGCCAATATGGTGGAAAACCTTAGACAAATAGGCCAGGATGCCAAGAAGGGAACACAGCAGGAACAGTGCGTGGTGCATGGAGAGAGACTTCACTTGTTCTGTGAGAAAGATGGGCAGATCCTTTGCTGGGTGTGCGTCCAATCCAAGAAACACCGCGACCACACCATGATCCCTATTGAGGAGGCTGCTCAGGTGTACCAGGTGAGGCCTTACCACAAAGACAGATATAAAGAAGGTGGGCCCTGATAAGTGCTTTCTCCCCCACAGCAAGGGATGGGAGAGAGTCACCTCTACAGTTGGGGAAAGGAGAAATACTCCCTTCCCTATCTAAGAGGAAATTGAAGGTTAAACATAACCTTCTCATTCCTCAGGATCAGAGGCAGCAGGAAATGCTGCAAGGATCATGTGTCCTCATGGCCTCCTGGTTAATTAGAAATGAGTAATGCCCCATCTTGCTACCCCAGTAGTGTACCTCTATTCCATAAAACATACTGGGCTTTTTCCAAAGTCTGCTCTTACACAGAATTCCTACTCCAATCAGATGCTAATCCTCCCTTCTTCCCTGTACTAAGGCTTTTTCTAAGAACCAGTATGATTGTTCCCCAATCCATGCCGCCCCTCCCCCCTACTTCTTGATCTGGCTGGTGATTAACCTGCTCTCTTTCTCTGCAGGAGAAGCTCCAAGGGGCATTAGGAAAACTGAGAAAAGAGCAGGAGTTGGCTGAGAAGTTGGAAGTAGATCTTGAAATGCAGAGAGCAGATTGGAAGGCAAGTGTCAGAAGCCTGGGCAGGGTCTAGAGTCTTGGACTCAAGAAACACTTAACCATAGTTATGTCTATCTGAGGAATGATAGAGTTGGTATATATCTAACTCTCCAAGAACTACCCACTCTCGGTCCAGATAGAGGGGAATTTAAAAAATATTCAGGCTCAAAAAAGAGCTCCCAATCGTGCACAAAGATCAAGACTCATTGGAGAAGATGCTAAGAGGATCAAGCTATTCTTTAAAGCTCCCTACTACTCTGAGCCCAGTCTCAAGGGATGATAACATCAGTACTACAGTGGGTCAGAGGTGTCTCAGGAAAGAAGCCCAGTTGCTAGACCTTTTAGGAAATGATAAAGGCTGTGAGGAACAAACTGTAGGGATCCAACAAGGGCTGAGGTAGGAAAACCAGTCTGACTAGAGAGTTGCTTGACCTCAGTCCAAAGTAAAATGAAAAAGTAATGCCTGTTCCATGCTAGTGATTTGCTAGTAGAGGTGGGGTACATTTGGGATAGGAATGGAAGGAACTCACAGCCAACAGATCCCAGAAAAGGAAGATTTGGAATTAAGGAAGGCTGAGTCAGGCTGTGGAGGCAAACAGGGTCATCCTCTGTCATCAGGTGACCCTCAATAGAGGAAACCACCATTTCCCTAGGACTTAGGGATGGTATTGTGAGTCAGTTTTTGTGAAGTCATTGGGAGTGGGAACCGGTTTTAACTCTCTAACTCACTGAGACAGAAAGAAAGGGACTCATTTGGGTGGTGACTAAGTTTTGGAAGAAAGGTGGAGAAAACTATCTTCTGGTGCCATTGGTTGACATAGCTGTGGTTGTAGGCCAGAGACAATGTGTCCCCCATCCCTGCTATTCCCCCTTAGTCCCAGAAACTTGACACACTCACTCACCACCTCCCTGGAAAAATTAGATGTTGTATGTGTTTATTCCCAGACATAACCAGGTCAATGAATCTGTAGGAGACAGAAACACCTCTATTCTCAAACATTAGAAAATTTTGATTAAAAACTACCTCTCTTTTTCTCCTATCACCACAGAGGAAGGTTGAGACACACAAATTGAGGATTCATGCAGAATTTGAGCAGCAGAAAAACTTCCTGGCCAAAGAAGAACAGAGGCAGCTGCAAAAGCTGGAGAAGGATGAGTGGGAACAGCTGAAAATTTGGGGAGAGAGAGAGGCCGAGCTGGCCCAGCAAAATCAGGTCCTTCAGGAGCTGATCTCAGAGCTGGAGTGGAGGAATCGGGGCTCAGCACTGGAGATGCTGCAGGTAAGACTGGGAGAGAGGTTCTAGGAGTAACAGGAAAAGCCAGAGCTCTCTAGAGCCACTCTTAGAGCTAACAGAATCCTAGTCTTTAGAATATTCTTAAACAAACTGAAATTCGGGTCCATGAGTGGTGTGCCTTCAAGACATAAAAGGATATAGATTTAAGGAAGGAATATTCTGCAGTTATTGACAGAATTAACATCCCTGGTAAGTGCTTACTCTTACGTGTACCAGGTGTGGGACCTCGAGAAAGCCGCTTAATCTTTCTGAATATCAGGTTTCTCATACAGCAAGTGGATTTTATACTTTGTGTTTTGTAAATCTGTAGACCTACCCTAGCCTTGTGACCTGGGGAGGGACTTAACACTATAAGCATTAAAAACTGGTGCCGGGATAAAAATAATTGTTTTTGTTCTAGCTAGAGACAACTGGCTTTCAGTCTGCTGAAAGTGTATTTCTTTCCTAATAGACTTTACTACCACTTTCATTACAAAAAAATGAATTTTGTAACAAAGGATTTTGTGAAAAATGAATGAGAAAATCACCATAGCTCTTAGGTGAATGTTTTAATACGCACAGCTAAAAAGATTAAACTGAAAATCAAGAGTCAGTAGTTCCAGCCCGGTCACCAATTTTCTCCATAACTATAGGTTTGGAAATTGGTTATGCCATTTTCCTTTCCTTAGGTACAGTTTCTCCATTTGTGAAATGAGAAAGTGGACTAAATAACAAAAGTTCCCCTAACATCTTTTTTTTTTTTTTCTTTTTTGTGGTACTGGGGTTCAAACTCAGGGCCTATATCCTGAGCCACTCTACCAACCCTTTTTTGTGATGAGTTTTTTTGAGAGAAAGCTATTTTCCCAGGCTGGCTTCGAACCACAATCCTCCTGATCTCTTCCTCCTGAGTAACTAGGATTACAGGTGTGAGCCACTGGCACTCAGCAGATGCAAAATCTTTACACTTTCTGCTAGTTCTATGAACTACCTAAATCATTTTACGTTTTATTTCTTTTTAATTGGCTCACTTTTTTCCCTGAATAAGTTTAATTTTAAAAGAAACTTTTTCCAAAGCAATACTAGGCAATAAATTATGTATTGGTATTACTTATTTTTCTAATTTATTTTATAAAAATAATCATGACTGAAATTTGTTGGGTGGTACTGGGGATTTGAACTCAGGGCTTTGAACTTGCTAGTCAGGTACTTTACCAATTGAGCCACACCCCCATCTCTTTTTTTGCTTAGTTATTTTTTTATGCCCAGGCCAGCCTGGACCACAATCCTCCTATTTATGTTTCCCATGTAGCTGGGATGACAGGCATACCACCACACCCAGCTTTTTATTGGTTGACATGAGACCCTCTGAACTTTTGTGCCCAGGTTGGCCTCTAACTGTGATTCTCCTGATCTCTGCCTCCCAAGTAGCTAGGATTTCAGGCTTGAGCCACCATGCCCAGCTCATAACTATAAATTTTTAACTAGCACTTGCCAGGCTTCAGGTGGGTGCTACTTTATCTCATTTTATACATGAGAAAGCTAATGAGCAGAAATGTTTAGAGACTTAGTGGGAGATTAAAGCTAAATGACTTGCCCAAGTTCGTCCACGTAGTATGAGATAGAGTTAAGATTAAAATATGTGCATAACTTCTTTAAAAAGCATCAGTGTACATTCTACTTGAAATCATCTTACATCCACCAGTGATTCAGCCTCATTTGGGGAACTGTGGACTACATGATCTCAGAAATTTCTTCTGCTCTAACATTCTCTGCTTCTTTTTCCATGTCTTTTCATTGTCCCTCAGTCAATTTATAAAGACATTTCTTTCTGGTTTATGAAAAAAAAAAAAAAAACTATCAGTTTAGCTTGGTAGACTCTTTTGCCTGACACTGAACTGAGGTTTCTGATGTCCCTTTGACTGGGCCTAGGAGCCTTCCAGTTCCCCATGTAAGGCCTCCCTACTCTGAAAAATGATGTTCTCAGTTGGCTTAACATCATATACAGGAAGGGGCAACATTAACCACAGCACAGGACAGAGCTTTAACCAACCAACCCTTCTTTCTCCAAACAACTCAACCCCAGAAGTGAGAGGGAGCTGTTTCTGGTCTCCCTACTTTGTCCATTCTCTCTCTGTGACTATCTCTGGGCTTCACCCAGGCTGGACTATTTGCCCTCCTCTACCCTTCTTCTTTCTTCCTCCCCATAAGAATCTGGTCTTTCTAATTTTTTTCTGAATTAGTATTTAAACTGATTCAGAACTTCCCTTGCCGTAAATTCACACCCACACTGGGTTTCTGATTACCCTATGAGCTTCTACACATCCTTCGTGCTACAAGCTGGACAGATCACCTTTTGGACCTTGGCTCAGAGAAATGCAGTGAGCAGAGCCCTGAAGATCACAAGGTGGTACCACAGAACTGAAATTTCAGTGGCACACCAGAAACTCCAGAACTTACCCTGTGTCTCTTTTCTCCTCAGGAGGTGAGAATTGTCCTGGAAAGGTAAGAAGATGTTTTCTGTGTTAGGAAAAGAAGCAGAAAGAAGTATGTATGCCTATAAAAAGAGTTGCTTATAGAAATACATGCACTGAAGTTTACTCCATGCCCCAAAGACCAGATCCTCTATAAAAATTGTTCTGGTCCTCTTTAAAAGTTGTTTGGAGAAACTGGTGAATTGCTAAAGTAATTGGATAGTAACATCTTCACCCAGTAAAACTTCAACAGGGAAATCTAGAAAATTCTGGGTCTACAGCCTGCTGGGACTCCTTTTTTAAATAGAATCTAACCAATTAGAAACTTCTCAAAATAAATCATGAGTAAGACCCACGGCATACGCAAGAGGCCTTAAAATTCCTTATAGAAATAATACCCTATATCAGATGCCTGGCCTATAAAATGAAATAGGATGCACTTGTGTGGTGACCTGAAGCTTGGAGAAGAGATACAGACTGTTCACATTGTTGCTGATGTTCAGGGAACCAGGAAGTCCTGAATAAAAACTAAATCCTACAGTTTTTGCCTTTCACCTGGACAGTTGAATGCAATAGGTATTTGTAAATTTGTGTTGAATTAAATTATCAGAGTCCTCCACAAAGGAGATCATTAGGGTCCATGTAGGAATTAAGGGTGGGAGAGAGAAGTCTAAAACTCTTTGTCCCCCAGGATTGAATCTTGGAACCTGAAGAAGCTGGACATTGCCTCCCCAGACCTGAAAAGTGCATTCCATGTGCCAGGAATGAAGAAGATGCTGAGGACGTATGGAGGTGAGGTGACTTCTAGAAGTTATGGGGCTAGAGTCGAAGGGGATGATGACAGTGTAGAGTGGATCCTGAGATCAGAGAGAATAGAGTGGATCATTGGGTCATGGAGGGCATCATGGGGGAGAGGTGTCAGGTTGGAGTAAGTTGGGGGGCGGGCAGAGATAGGAAGATCACGGCAAGGGACAGAGTTGTCCGGGGATCTTTTCCTCATGTAGTGAGATTCAGGTTCACCCCTCACCTTCACCCTGGAGTTTACATGAATCCTCCCAGCATAGACACATGATTAGTGCCCCCCAGACACTACACACACACACACACACCTAACTGTGGTCCTCTTTCTGCAGTGTACATCACTCTGGATGGAGACACAGCCAACCCATGGCTCATCCTTTCAAAGGATCGGAGACAAGTGAGGCTTGGAGACACCCAGCAGAAAGTTCCTAAAAATGAAGAGAGATTTGATAATTACCCCATGGTCTTGGGTGCCCAGAGCTTCAATTGTGGAAAACTTTACTGGGAGGTAGATGTGACAGGAAAGGCATCCTGGGACCTGGGGGTTTGTAGAAACTCTGTGCAGAGGAAGGGACATTTTTTGCTCAGTCCTGACAGTGGCTTCTGGACAATTTGGTTGTGGAAAAAAGAAAAATATGAGGCTGGCACCTGCCCCCAGACTCCCCTCTACCTTCAGGTGCCTCCATGTCAAGTTGGGATTTTCCTGGACTATGAGGCTGGCATTGTCTCCTTCTACAACATCACTGACCATGGCTCCCTTATCTACACCTTCTCTGAATGCTCATTTGCTGAGCCTGTGAGGCCCTTCTTCAGTCCTGGTTTCAATGATGAAGGAAAAAATGCAGCCCCTCTGACCCTATGTCCCCTGAAGATGGGATGACTAGAATCCATTGACTATTGAAGGATCTTTCTTGACACTGTCACCCTTTCCCTATTGGTGCCCTCGCTCAGCCACAAACTCTGTCTCAGGCTTTAGTAGGGAGATCACTGAAAGTCAGTGTCAAATAATCTTCAACATCAATAGTCTCTCCCTAGATTCCTTTATGATTCCCTCCAGTGAAGCAGACTCCTCATATATGGCTAGAACTCCTCTGAATCAACCAAAACATGTTTCTGCCAACTTTATGTGACTTGTTTTGTTTTCTTCTCTATCTCTAGGCTGTTGCCTGTGGTCATATCTCTATTATTATATCTTTCATGGTTTGCAAAAGGGCTCCCTAAAAATAATTTTGCCTCAGTCTGCCCCATTCAGTCCTGGTATCTTAAACTCAAAATACTTGAGAACTCTAAACATGATTAATGTCGATATGTCTTTGACATTGCACGTGTTATCCCCTGCCTGGAATGCCCTACCCACTTTTACATCTAAACACTCAAGTCAAGAATATCTTCTGTAACTCCTCATAGCAGTCACTGTAGTGGTAGAGGCTATCTACAGAACTGCTCTCTGCCCAATGGGATGTCACCTCCCTACAATGAAGGAACTCCTGGTTTTGAAAGACAGAAGTGCTCCTGGGTACTAGTATAGCTCTCTGGACCTCCATATCACTGACCTTCACAGACCTGAGACACCTTCTGTCTATATTCTCATGTAGAAATGTTTGACAACATCAAAGTTTCTGGAACTTTCTGTGCATGGAATGAACAAACTCCTACTCCCTCTGATAGCCCTGATTTTTATATCATCCTTCTCCAAAATGCCCCTTCCTTAAGCAAACTTTTCTAGAAAAAAATTAATGTCTCTACTAAGAGATAGCAGAGAAGGAGGAAGTATGTAATGGGTGTGGCTACATCCCCAATTATGAGGAAGGGGTTTTGAGCCTGGAGAAATGTGTGTCTGTCTGTATGTTTCCCAATTCAGTAAGTGAGACTATAGCGAACTCAGAAGAAAAGGCCCCATTTGTCTTCCAGAGTCACTACTGCAGAGGATAAAATATCCTCTCAGTCAAGAGAGACTGTGTGGAGGAGAGAAGAGAACATGGCAGCAAAGAGTGATCATAAGGCATGAGTTTCATCTCTTTCCTGTCTGTGACCAGGCTACCTCCCCTCAACCTGTTGCCCCAGCCCCACATTTCCTGTTTGGATGATTTGGTGGTAGAAAGAAGAATGTCAAAGGGTAGGAAAAAGAAATCCAAATAAAATAACCATCTAAGTCCTTGAGTTCCCACCACTAACAGGTCCTCTCAAGCCTCTTTAGCTCAGGCTTGCGACTTAGGATCTGGGGTCTCAGGATGGGCAGACAGAAGAGCAGAGACAGGAGGGGTGTCAAACATGGCATCTCTGGGAAGTGAAGGGCCCAGCATCTGACAGCCTTTGAAGGCAGAGATCCAGGACAGTGGGCCTAGTTTCTGGATTCATAAGAAAGGAATGGGGCATAGACTTCCTCTAGAGTGCCCCCATAAGTGGCACTTTTTTTCCCTTCTTTGTTTTCTCTTAAACTCAGAGCATCCTCCATCACTTTCATTTCCTCTCTCAGTTCTCTCTGATAGAAATTATTCCCCCTGTTCTCACCTTTTCCTTTTCTTCTAAATTCAGTCTCCAGCCATCCCACTCATCTATACCCACTCTTGCTTTGAAATGTTTCCCCACCAGTGTGTCCTGTGATCACCACCACTATCCAGTACACACACCTTATTCTCAGTCCACTATATTCTTGGCCTTTCCTTTAATCCAGATATCTAATGGCTACTTGTAGGAAGTCTTAGTGCTGATCTCTCTGGGTCTCCTGTAGGAATAGTCCAAGTCTAGTGAGGGATTGCAGGTGGAAAGGGTTAAGGAATGGAAAGGGTTGGAGGGAGTGTTGTCTGCCCTGGGGAACAGAAATCACTTCAGCATGTGCCTCTGGGGTCTTCTTTATAAACAAAATTTCTTCCCTGCCATAGTTCCTAAAGCCCATGGATTGGGGCTAGGGTTCTCCCTACCCACATCCTGATCATGATGGAGTTGCTTAAAGGGCATTTTAAATATTACAGACCTGTCTTAGTGTAAGGCATTTTCTCAGAGATCCAAAATGGGGCCACATCCTCTCTTGGCCTTCTTCTGACTCTGCCTTGGGACTGTTTTAGTGGAAAGGAGTGTTCAATACCTGGCCAGGCCCTATAGGTGACAAATCCCACAAACTTCTCCTTGCCTTCTGTCTATAGGGTCAGCCCAACAACCAGGAGCAGCAGCCAGTTGTACCCCTTGGAGAGAAGGGATCCTAAATCCTGTGTCAATGCTGTCTGATAACAGTGTAAATACTGGAGCTTAGTGATTACATCTGCTATGCCTAGACACAAAAGCTGGGATCCCAGAGGTTCTGAGGAAATAGTTGTTAAAATGAATACCAGGAGTCCAGCTGAAAATTTCACTTGGGTTAATGATGAGAGAATATCATACTTTGGTCTGTGTAAGACTAAATGTTTACACAGACTCCACTTCTAGAATTGACCCATATACTATTCTTATCAAAAAGGCATTTCCTACCTGTTTACAAGGTGTGTTCATCTTCCTCTTGCTCCCTACTTGTGTACTCTGAAAGCCGTCAAGTTTCTTTGGAAATTCAGGAGGAAGAGTTCCAAATGGGAGCCCAAATAGTGCCATACTTGTTTTCTTGAGGATCTAGCATATGTTTAGGGTTTTTAAAGAAATTTTATTGACATAAATATGCATTCAGAAAAGTGTACACAATGCACAATCAGTAATTCTTTTTGTTACAAAATAGAATGTATATCCAGAACCAGATTTAATGGCACCTCAGCAGAACCAAATGTGCTGCCTTCAACCTACAACCCACAAGGATAATCACTACCTTTCATATACAGCACAGATTTATTTTAATCTTCTGAATATTATATAAATGGAATTTTATAGAAGCTATTCCCCATTCTCTTATGCCTATCTTTGTTTTGGCTTCATAATGTTCATAAGTCAATATTTGTAAGACTCATCCTTAATTCTTATAATTGTTATCCATTCATTTTTATTGTTATTTCATATTTAATTATTTGGGTATACTATCCATTTGCTTATCCATTCTATTATTGATAATGTTTAAGAAATTTCCAGTTTTAGGCTATTAAAAATAATATTTGTTTTATAATATGCTTATAAAAATGTAAATAACATAAACTATAGTGGTGGCTACTACACCACCTCTATTCATGATCATAGGAAACATAGAGCTTCTGTACAGTGTTTACTAAATATGTTCTCAACTGAAACAACATTACCTGACATTCATGATTCCAAATACACATTGGATGCAAGGAATATGAATATTCTTATATGTCTTTTGGTGAATAAGTGTATATGTGTGTATGTGCATTTTCCTTGCACATGTAGAGGATAGATACCTTGGAGTTTATAGATGGCCCCTGACTTACAATGGTTTCACTTACAACTTTTAAATTTTACAGTGATGAAAAAGCATACCCATATGACCATTCTAATGCCCACTTTTAGTACAATATCCAACAAATTACATGAGATATTCAATCCTTTATTATAAAATAAGCCTTGTGTTAGATGATTTCCCCAATTGTAGGCTAATGAAAACATTCTTTTCTGCATGTTTAAAGTAGACTAGGCTAAGCTGTGACATTCTTATCTAAATAGAGCCTCAGATGGTCCCTAGCACATCTTCTAAATATCTCGTGAAACATTCAGATATAATACAAAGATGGCAGTGACAGTGTTTATTGATTAGAGTCATTTGTAAACATGAGTAATGGTCTATCTTAATACCAAACAGAAATGAGTTCCTTAAAGATAAAAAGAACAAAAAAGACCCAGGTATGCATCCTCAGGTGTGATGACAATATTACAGGCTAAAGACAAATTGGTGAAGCCAACTAGTGAGTTAGATGATAAACTGAAGGATGAATATGGGAATGTACAAGAGAATGGTTAGCTTGAGTGTGTCAGATGGCATGGTGAAATATGGAAAAACGGGAAGGATTAATTATAAAACTGGCTTTTCATCTATATGTGTCTCCCTTGGGTTTTATCCTACAAATGATGGTTTGTGTCCTTTCTTTATATACTGATGGAAGGAGACTATTGTACATAAATACACTTAAGTCTCATTTCTCAAAATCTGAATACTTGGCATATCAGGTTACCTTGATACTTGGAAATGTATATTACACAGATGATACATTCCCTTTGTTCTCCACTGACAAGAATTAAGAGATTTCATAGTACCTCAACTTTTCATGCCCAGAAACACTCACTAACAGATGATCCAGGTACTCATGTACTGCTTGTCACATAAAAATTATCTTGAGAAATGAGGGAAGACACTACCAGCACTAATTTCAACTTTGATTAATATTGTCCCTTAAAATTCAAAATTCCTGAATTAATAGAGGCAAAAAGTATTATACCAAAAGTTTTCTATTTACATATATGAAATTGCACATAGTATGACATTTTCATACATGTATATAATTATGTTGACCATGTACACCTCTTCTATTACTCTTTCTTATCCCCCACTATGCACTCTCTTCCACATCCCTAATAGTCCCCCTTTCATTTTTATGACCTTGATTTTTATTTTGTTTTGCCCAAAATTTTAAAGATAAAGAAGAAAGGAGAAGAAAAAATTTAAGTGTATCCATGGCTTGCTCTGTGTTCTATGGTCAAGATCTTGTTTTAGTTCTACACAGCCCTATGATAAAGATATGATCTGGACATAATCAAAAAATGTGAAGATGATGGCAACCTCCATATTTAATTCAAACCAAAAGATACTTTTAGTGATGTTAAATGTATGGTATTATTAAATTAATATATATTCTGTCTAGATGATTTCATCGTGATGTCCAAGATAAGTTCATGGTAAGTGAAGCTTTCTTGTTATTTAATTTGGTTGCTTTGGTTTTGATTTCCCTCTTTTTCTAGTATCCTAAGCATGGGCTAAGAAGAGTCTCTAAGAGAATAAGTAATTTGCCAAAGGTTAAACACATCATCCTCAGTGAAGCCAGAGTTCAATTCTTTTTTTCTTATTATGTTGGATGGGGATACATTGTGGTATTTACAAAAGTTCTTACAATATATCAAATATATCATACTTGAATTCACCCCCTTTACCATTCTCCTTTATCCCTCCCTATGCCAATTCCTGGAATAGTTTCAACAGGCATCATTTTTCAAATTACATACATGTGTACACCATATTTGCACTATATTCACTCTCCCACTGGTATCAACTCCCCCCACCCAGGCAGGACCTACTCTGCCTCCTTTTTTCCAACTTTCTAAATAACAAAAATGACAATTTTGCTTGTTTAAGATAGCTACACAGGGAGTTTCCTTTTGACATTTCCATGTATATATGTATTATAACCCAAAGTGGTTCATCTCCTCTATTTTTCTTCTTTCTACCTTAGTCCCCCTTTTATGGTGGCTTCAACAGGTTTAAAAATTCTATATTCATTCTTGTATAGAAAGTACATAAACCATATTCACCTTCTTAACTTCCTTCTTTTACCTTCCATCTCTCATATGCGACCTCCCTTAGCATGACCTGGTTTTCATAATATTGCTACATTTAGGTCTATACACATACAAGAGAATAATATTGCATATTAGGTCTATTCCACATACAAGAGAAAACGTGGCTTTTGGTCTTCTGAACCTGGCTAACTTCACTTAAGATGATGCTCTCCAGTTCCATCCATTTACCTGCAAATGACAAAATTTCATTCTTTTTGTGGCTGAATAAAATCCCATTATATAAATGTGTATATACCACATTTTCTTGATCCATTCATCAGTCATGGGACATCTTAGCTGATTATAAATAATGCTGCAATAAACATGGGTGTGCAGGTGCCTTTATTGTAACCTGATTTACATTCCTTCTGGCATATCCCTAGGAGTGGAATAGCTGGATCATATGGCAGTTCTATTTTTAGTTTTTTGAGAACTCTCCATACTATTTTCCAAAGTGGTTGTACTAACTTACATTCCTATAAGCAGTGTATGAAGATTCCTTTTTCCCCACATCCTCACCAACATTTGTTATTGTTTGTTCTTGATGGTTGCCATTCTAATAAGAGTGAAGTGGAATCTTAACATGGTTATGATTTGCATTTCCTTTATGATCCAGGACTGGCAGAGTGGCTCAAGTGACTGCCTAGCATTTCCTTTATGGCCAGGGATATTGAGCATTTCTTCATGTGTATTTTAGCTATTTGGACTTCTTTGAAAAAGTTCTGTTCAGTTCATTTGCCCATTTCTTCATTGATTCACTCATTAACTCATTGATTTTTGGGGGGAGTTTAGGGTTTTTTGGGGGGTGGTTTATTTGTTTGCTTGTTTTCTTTTGGAAGATTAGTGTTTTGAGCTCCCTGTATATATCAGAGTTCAATTCTGATCCAAAAGTTCATGCTCTTTCCTAAACACTATCCTTCTCAAGGTCATGTGGCAATCTGACTTTAAAGTCATGACAAATCACTTTGCTCATGTTGGTGGAACTCTTAACTCATAAGTCTCCACAAAGTAGTCACAAAAAATGTGAAGACCTATATTATTAAATATACCACCATGTCAGTCAAACTCAGTATGGTTTCCACTGTGAAGAGAAAATACTAAGTACACGCTCTCGAATCTTCCTAGTCTTGATCCCATAGATAATGGGATTCAGCATGGGATGGATCAGCATGCACACATTAGCCAGTAGAATGTGAATATGGAGAGGCATATGGTGCCCAAATCTCTGAGTAATTATGGTAAAAATGCCAGGCAAGTAAAATATGGAAATGATGCCCAGGTGGGATCCACACATGGAGACTTTTGCTAAGCCCCTCTGGAAGGGAGGTGGAACACTGCATAGAGGATGAGAATGAGACTGTAGGAAACTAAGATGAGCAAGGCATCTAGCACTACAGTAGAGAGGATAGATATGCCATACCAAACATCAACACAAGTATCAGCACAAGCAAATTTGGCAACCTCCATGTGCTCACAGTAGGTATGTGGCAGCTGATTGCTACAGCAGAAAGGTCTGCTTCTCAGGACCACAGCCAAGCTAACCGTTATGATTACCATGTAACTGAGTGCTGTGCTATGGTGCAATGGGTCACAGATAGCCATATAGTGGTCAAATGCCATGGCCAACAGAATCCCTGATTGGGCAATGAAGGTAGCATGGATGAAGAAGATTTGGGTGACACAGCCATCAAGAAAAATTGCTCCAGCATGAAACCAGAATATAGCCAGGGCCTTAGGCACAGTGGTAGTGGACAGGATCAGGTCAGCCACAGCCAGCATGCAGAGGAAGAGGCACATGGGTTCATGGAGGCTGTGTTCAGTTATGATGACAAAGATGAGGAAGCTATTCCCAAGGAGGGTAACCAAGTAGGAAATAAAAGGGAGAGAGATCCATGTGAGTTAGTCTTCTAGGCCTGGGATGCCCAGTAGAATGAAGATTGAGTAGCTGGGACCAGTACTGTTGAAGATTGCCATGCCCAGGGAAGGGCACTTGCAGTTACTTCTCTCTTCCCAAATAGCTGAATGGGGTTAAAGTAGAGGAGGAGAGAACAGGTCATGTTTCATTGGACAGAACAATGAAAAGTATCCTGGAATGAAAAGTATCTAGGAATTCAGAATATGTGGACAAAAATTCCCTGCCATTCTATTCACAAGGTATGTGATCTCAATAAATTGCTTCCCTGCTCAGAGTATCTCTTTGATCATCTTAAAAACTGAAGTTGAGGAGAGGGTAGTTTAGATCATCTTTAATACAGCCATCTAGTTCCAGAATGTCACAGATGTTAGTCTGAGGTTGTTGTAAACTATTAAAAGCTGTT